TGAATGACTGCAAGAAGGTGTTGGTGGTGGGGCGATTCGGTCCATGAGTTGTAACGACTAAAAGAATATGTCAAATCTTCAATGCTGCGCTCAATGGGCTTCAACACCTGAAAACAACGAATGACATTAAATCTCCTTTCTCGGTTTCAGTAACAGGCATTAAGAACAAATAATTTTAGAAAACTGTGCTCTTGTAGTTACAGTAAGATGTTTGGGAGCTACTGTAATCGTGTGTTGCTCCTGTCACACAAGCGTTGGTGCTTCCATTGTTTACCTGAATTCATGCTGCTGATGTCTGTAACTTTTATTACTCTTATAAGTAGAAGGAAAAAAAAATCTGAGGGTGGAGCCTTGCACTTGGTGCTAAATAGCTACAGCGTGATTTGAAGTGGGTAGTGAGAGCTCGGGGGTAACGGCGGGGTAGGCTGTTTTTTTGTTTTTTTGGATCCAGGTATTGGGAGTGGCTCAGGAATGCAGTAGTGGCTCAGAAAGCAGACATCCTGATGGGCGGCAGATGTTGGAAAGTATTTCAGAGCAGCATGTTCAGGTTAGTTGGGATGGTCTAAAAATACACAAACACTCCCTTGTACTCGGTTGGCTTCCACAAGATGCATTTCATCTCATCGCAAACTATAAAACACATTTCTTTGTGGAAGGCATTCTTGGATGGTCGGATCTGATTCGGGAACTTCTCATTTGAGTACAGCATGAAACATTGTCTCGGATGGCGTTGCATACTCCACAGGATGTGCCCACTTAAGTTTTACAGACTGCTCACATAAAAGACTTTGAAAGTTTTCCTAATCACAGAGATGTGTGCCTTCCCATGCAGCCCTGATTTCCAGTCAACACATTCTGAGCGGCTTGTTTTTGCGTTTTGCCTTCATGCTGCTTCCCAAAAGCACATTTTCATCAGAGTGCCTTAAACTTTGCCATGCAATCAGACTGTGATTTCTCTTGTGAACACAATACTTGGTTATGTCATATTTTTAAACGCCGTGTCAGCAGTCCTTTCAGTCATCCATAACATTCCTGTTTGATGCAAGTGCAGCAGGTAGGGCAGAAATCTTGTCTTTTCAGGACAGCTTGAAATCATCGATTCAAACCAACAGTGCCATCCTGTTCAGTCATGCACAAATGTTAACGTTGGATTATGCTGCACTAGATGGCATCTGCAAAGAAAAAAATGTTTTCGCACTGGCGCCCAGGAAATTAAATCACTCAGAAGCATCCTCAACCCCTGAACTCAAATGTTTATATGACAAATGCATTAGCATTAAGCCGTCATCATCCACTATGAAATACAAGGCAACCAAGCAGTTACAGCAGGATGAAGAATTGGCATGCCAACATGCTGGAAGTGAATGAACATCATTGTCAGTATTTTTTTTCCCAGAGCCTTGGACTATACAGTCACTCAGGTTGATATTCACTTTTAAGGAACTTGAGGACAGAAAGAAGGAAGGTTTTGAATGAAAGTCATGTTCAAAAGCACCATCTGCTGGTTGGAAATGTAACACACATTCTGTAAACTGTATACTCGGTCGACACAATGGAAAATACGCGATCTATAGTTACGTCATACTGTCAATTTATGCTAGTCAAGAATATGCACGTCCACTTGGATGACAAAGCATGAGTAAGCAGAAATGTGACTAAGGCATTTCTATCGAACAAGGCAGAATGGATAAAGATCCACCATGGCAACCCCAGATCACTCTTATTATTGGTATGCAACAGCAGTGGGGAATTCATTTTGCAAAGGGGCCACGTGAGAAACCGGCTGAGTGCCAAGCCAAGATGCCAACCTCAACTTTCTATTTATTTTTTTATGTATTTAGAAAAAGTGTTTCAATAAATTGATACATGTGGTGGACATGGTACATATAATTTGGAAACAAAATCAAACAAAATTATAGCGATCACTAAAATTGTATCTTTACACTTTAAAAATTATACGATAGATTTTGAGCTCCAGCCGCCAACTTATATGAGTGTTTCCGAGTCAGGACTCTCATGTACAGATACATATAGACAAGTGGGTCGTATTAATATTCATATTATTGACAGTGATATACAGTATGTAATGATACAGTGATGACCTATAATACGTACATCAAGCACAAAGTGGAAGAAACAATTTTTGCCTCTAAAATTAAATTACCGATATCTTTATTCACTACAGTGTTCTGAAGCTAAATTGTATTGTTCTTCATAAATCAAAAATGGTTTATTTTTATCTTCAAACATAGATAAAAGTACTACAGTATATAAACAAATACATTCATTGGTGGTAATGGGACCTATTTTTCTGACACCCTCCCTTCTACTCTGCCTACCTACACCATTTTTTAACCAACCTGGCAACCCATGTCAAATGTCATTTTTAGTTTAACGCATCTTTTGTCATGTCGCGGACTGCAGAAAACTGAATGGTGGGCCGCAAATGACCCCCAGGCAGTAGTTTGGAGACCTCTTGTCTAATCCAAGGTGATGCTACTGAATAGTGATCGCGCAGACTCCATTGTTTAAAGCAAAGTTCAAATGTATCGTATAATTCATTCAGAAGTAGTGGTTTGAGGTCACCAGTTCATGAGTTGTCCCGAGAGAAGAGATGCACTCAGATGTGACATCATTGCCCCCTGATCGCAAACGGCTGGAAAAATGAGTCATCACAGACTTAAGACATCAAATAAAGTCAGTCAAAAGGGTTTCTCATCCAAAAGACGTTCGCATTGGCTGTTTAAACACATCCAAAAAATACTGGCCTCACCAGTGGGCAAGACTGTCATTTACAACTGGCGCTGCAGTCATACTCAACTAGCATTAGGTGAGAATACAGCATGTAGAGAGGCCACACGCAAACCCATCGGACACCCTGGACGTGCCAGAAAACTTAACATTACCATGAATTAGCTCATCGAAAATGAGACGACGGATCTTGACGAAAAGAAGAAACATAATTAAAATAATTTAAAGGTGATTCTTGTACGTGGGGTTTGTTTCTCTTTGTTTGAAATGACAAGAGTCAATACTGCGGCACATACACGCACATGTTGTGGAATTGCAATTATCTGAACATGTCCTGGATGGTAGCCTACTGTATGGGTTTGTTTGAAATGCAAGTATTCAAGGAACTTTACACATTTCCACATCAGATATGGCACAAACTGAAAACCCAAAGTCCCAGGTTAGCCTAGTAAGTCCCATGATTTGCGAAAATAACAATGGAACAACAAAACATGAATACAGAAAGATAAGGAAATGCTTATTCACCATTTGAACATACAGCAAAGATCTAAATGCAGCAAGGTGTGGACACAGCTGAAATAAGAAGGTAAGAGGCTTGACTTGCGCCATATCTACAAGGTTTTAGTGCTTGGAGTGGGAAAAAAAAAACATGTTCAATGTGCAGGGATGGATACACATGAAGATGAAGGGACTCCAAAGTCTTAACAGCTTCCGCAAAGAAGCTTTTCCTGAACCCAGTGGCCCTGCTCAAGATGCTCTGTAGCCTCCTGCGTGAGAGGAGAGGATAAACGAGTGTACACAGGGTGGGTTGGGCTTTTGGTGATGGACAGACATTTTTCTGCATTTGCTGGGGAAGATATCTGGTTGTGGGGAAGCTGTAGCACACAATCTTTTGAGCAGCCTTTAGCGAGCTTCGAAAAGCCTTCGTTTCTGCAGCTGCAGTGCCACCCACCCTGATGCTGGTGCTGAGGACTTTCTCCAACAAACATCCATCCATTTTCTGATCCATTTAACCTCACAAGGGTCGCGGAGAGAACTGGAGCCTATCCCATCTGTCTTCAGGCAGCAGGCGGGGGACACCCTGAACTGGTTGCCAGCCAATCACAGGGCACACATAGATGAACAACCATCCACGTTCACACTCACACCGGACAATTTAGAGTGTTCCATTAGCCTGCCATGCATGCTTTTGGAATGTGGAAGGAAACAGGAGTAACTGGAAAAAACCCACACAGGCACGGTGAGAACATGCAAATTCCACAAAGAAAGGCCAGAGCCGGAATCGAACCCTGCACCTCTGCACTGTGAGGCTGACGCGCGAACCAGTCGACCGCCGAGCCGCCCTCCACCAAACACCTGTAGAAATTAGCCAAAATACAACTCTCGAGTCTGACACATCACAGGTTCCAGGAGAAAATGGTGAACCTTCTTTAACAGAGAGACAAGGGAGGAAAGTTAGTTTTTGGGCTCCAGGTGAGAATCCTCGGGAAGGTGGACCCCAACATACTTGGAGTTGGAGTCCACGTACACTGCTGCTTCTTCAATGTACAGAGGGTTGGGGTGGCGGGAGGGAGAGTCTGTCCTTGCTGAAGTCCACCATCTCCTTGGTCTTCATCACGATGCAAATGTTCTCGTTGCACCAGTCCACCAGATGTTCTCGGACTCATCTTTGTCTGCAATGCATCCCACGACTGTTTTGTTGTCCGCAAACTTCACAGTATGACAACATGGGAAATCTGCAGAGCAGTCATAGGTCAGTATTGTGAGCAGGAGGGGGCTGACCACACTGCCCTGGGGACAGCAGTGGTGAGAGTGATTGCAAAGAAGACATGGTTGTGGATCGTGACAGTGTGTGGTCTGTTGTCTGGATCCAGTTCTTGAGCCAAGAATGTTCAGCTTTAGCACCAAAGTCTGTGGGATGATGGTTTTGAAGGTGGAGGTGAAATCCAGGTCAAGCAGGCGGACTTGGGATTTTTTGCTTTCCCAGTGGCTGAAGGCTGTTTGGCCCACTGATGAGACAGCATAATCAGTGGCGTTGTTCTAACTGTAGGCGTACCAGTGAGGGCCCGCAGTGATGTAGCAAGAGTTCAGCAAAAATGAATATGAACAAATTTAAAACAATAATGTCTATATTCAAGCAAGACAAATTAGGTAAATGCAAATATAAAAACTGGAAACAAAAGAAAAAAGATATGCTTTGTTTACAATGACAATTGTTTATTGTTTTTGTATATTTAAAAAAAAAAAAGAAAAAAAAAAAGAAAAATCAGGACAACACAATGTTGAGCTTGGACAAAGCTGATTTTCAATTCCAAGTATCTGCCAATGTATGTGTCATTCAGTCATGCTCACCTCTGCACTTTCTCTGGCAGTCATACTGTTGACAACACTTGATAAATCTTTGTTAATACAATTAGCGGTACCTTCATCTACGAGCTCATCTTTGCTTGTGGCACCATCACATGTCTGATTTAATGTGCTATTTTTACCAATATTTTCTCCCTTATCCTCTTCATCCTCACTCTCTGCAATCTCTCCTTCTTCTAGTTCTTCCTCCCCTAATTCTCTCCTAAGCCTTTTTTCTTGTGGGGGCAGTGATTCGGGGCTGGACCTCAAGGCTGTGAAGACGTTTCCTCTTGTGGTGTGAGACCGAGGCAGAGATGGGGAACATAGGGCGAGGTCCTCGTTTGCGTGGTCCACAGCGACACCCTTTGTTGCATATTTATCGTTGGCGGACGCAGGCTCAGCTGAAACAACACGGCCACATTTGTATATATGAAACATAGCAAGCTCAAACATTGTTCCCCGCAAAAGAATGTTGGCTACATTTCCGACTCAAGACAAATGTTTGGTGTGATGATTTTGCTCAGATCGAGTCCTCTGTAACCACTGAAAATAAGAGACAGTTAATACAGGACGGGGAAGATGACGCTATGGTTTGGACCCTTGCTGGTGCTCAGGATGGGGCAACATGCCAAGCCATGAGTTATGTAATTAAACAGGGTGGACATGTGAGGGGGAAAAAAAAAGGCTGGGCGGTGAAAACTGAAACTGTTTGATGGACGAACTGAAGACATTAAAAACAAAGATACCTTTAAGACTCGCAACCATTCCAACTTGGCAATCATTTTTGATTTAGCATTGTCTCACTCTTCTCTTTTCATAAATATTAGATATATGTCTGTCAGGCCTGACATCACTGAGGCTCCTTAGCTTTATGGATAAAATCACTCAGCATTTAAGCTTGTCATGTGGGTGGACTTAGCACTGGCTTTGCGTAATATGGTGATAAAAGATCCATTGCAAACACAAAAACAAACCTCAAATTGTGTTATGACATGCCCTTTTTTTTCCCCGTATCAATGGATTGATGAAAGAGGATGCTGCCCATGGGCCACCACAGCCCAAATTGCGCAGCTCAACGCGAATAAAGTTGATCACCAAGAAAATATGAATAAAAAAAGTAAATACAGCTGGTGACTTCTCGTACATCAAGCAATCGACCGCGCGTTGTCTCGTCCTATTCAGGACATTTTCAACTTCCTGCAACTGTGGAACTTATGTGAGTCAGTGCCTGGAACAAAATCCAGCCAAGCCGGAAGACTTAATATTCCTGCTATAATCCCCCATTCGCCGTAATTCAACTGGGGCAGGCTCCAACACCCCACCACAGGAATGGGACAAGTGGTATTGGAAATGTGTGTATGTTTGGATGAATAATATATGTTATTGTTACAGCTTGGCAGTGCTGAGCCGACCGGCGGCCAGGTGGGTCTCGCTTATGCATAGAATCCAGAAACATCACGTCCCTGTGATCTGACCCAGGATAAGCCAAAGAAAATGGATGGATGAAGAGCTCATTCGTCCTGTCATGCTAAGATTTTTTTATTTAATTTTTTTTAGATTATATTATTTTTCTGGAAATGCTCACCAGAAACCATAGTATCGTTGATGTTGACATTGCTACTATATAAGAGGATAATTCAAGTAGGCTACTATACGTCCTTGCTATGAGCAATTAACTTAATTTTCAAGAATATTGAACACTGGCACTGAATATGTAGAGCAATAAATAAAAGATCATACATAAAAATAGAAATGTAAAATAAAAACGGACTCAGGCTGGAATGGGTGTGTAGGAAATTTAAGCTTGTTTTTGGGCAGTTTGTACAGACTATCAAAAGTCTACACACTATGAACGCGGGTTTCTCAGCAGTGTTGAATGGCTGCATCTCTTTCGTTCTCAAGTGAGCAACGCTAGCTGCGAGGCTTGATAATTGCCCAGCTGAAGAAATTGGGTGGGATGGTTGTTTTAAATGGGCTTTGAGGTTTGATGTGTTGCGGCTTATTTCATAAATGTGACATACCGGCCGGTTGATGTTAGCGGGCCTGCTCTGTGTTCATCTGGCTTGAATCCAAAGTCTTCCCACTGTGGCTTTAGTTTTTGGAATGAATTCCATTTCTGCCGGTAAATTGCTTGTAATTGTACAGCCGCAGCCATCGGAGAACGTAGGTTCGAGTCCACTAATTAATTCCATTTCTGTGCTACAAAGCTGTTTGCACCATCTGTGTGGGTGGGTGCGCGTGTTTGTGTGAGCACGTCCCGCCTCCCACAGTGGAAACGAGGTGACTCACAAGAGGGAGAACGAACCATTGTAACTGAATGTTAATGATGTATGTCAATAAACATCCGTGTAAATGACAAGTTATCCAGTCTGGGGAAAAAAAACATCGTGGCCATTTTATTTATCAAAAGATAAGTCGATGTCGTAATAATCGTGACATGCTGAAAGCCTTGGGATATAATGATCACTGCACTCTTGCGATATTAAAATTGCCACGATATCGTCGTCATGTCACAACAGTAAAGCACCACACCTGTTTGGCCAGGTAATTTTCCATTTGTGTAGTTCCAGCACCCTCTGGTGGTTAATTTATTAGTATAGTTTAATCAGAATTTGGCTTTTTTTTGTCACTGACATTTAAGACTCAAGTTAATCGTCAGATGAAGGGGAACGTAAAACGTTTGCATGATTCCCGAATCGACTAGATTCTCAATGTGTGAATGCATTCCCAAGTAAGTGCCTCAATATTCAGTGTTATTAGTTAATCCTCCCAGAATTCAGAATTGTATTGTATTGATAGTGCAGAGAACAATCCTGATTCTCCAGAGAGGAAATCTTAATTCCGTGATTTGAAAGTTCATTTTCCCCGGGCATTAAAAAAAAATAAAAATAAAAATAAAAAAGACCTAAAATGACCAGTAAAAAGCAAATTAATGGAGCAATGACGTACGAATGTTTTTTTAGGAAATTATCTGTAAAACACACTGTGGAACCTTATTGTTTTAAAATAACATCAGTGTTCTCTTATTCCCTCTAGGGCAGATTTATTTGATAATAATTACAATAATAATAATGTAATGTGAACGAGAACATAAAGAGGGGATTTAACAAAACAAACAACAAAATCATAATTGGACATCACACCCTGCAGTGTGAAACGTAGCCTGCCTGACCACAACATCTAACTGCTGGGATGAAAACGACATGTAAATGTAATATTCTGACACCTCGCCCATATTTTCATGTATCATTTACAATTCCACGGAAAGCTTTGAAATCTGCGGCAAATTCCGTGATTGCTGAACACAGGATTGTGAACTTCATAGACCATGATACTTTGTACTGCTGAGCCAATAGGCGCAATTGACAATAAAATGACTGGCCAACTCTATTTGTGGCTGCCGTTATGTACAAAAACACCAAATTGTGCTCCCCCAAGACTGTATATCGTTTTATACTGTACTGTGAGCTTTTTTTTTTTTTACTGTATATCGTGTGTTTTTATACTGTACTGTGAGCTTTTTTTTTTTTTAATATCGTATCATGATGTTTGGATATCATTACATCCTGACACAAACTCATGTGCAACTTTGATTGGGCAGTCTTTGACACTGTAACGCTGTCTGCCACTGATTCAAAACCAGTGGCCGATGGTCCAGCGCTCAGTAAAACTAGCTGCCGAACCCCGTGCAATTGTGTGCCACGTTCAGTCCGTTGCAGAAAGTTTCTCCATGTGTGGCGGGCCTAACTCCTAAGGGGCAGCAGTGGGGCCTGAGAGCCTTGATGCCCTTTATCCAGACGACATAATCCACTGTCGCAGTATCCGATAGCTTGTTATCACTTCCTGTCCAGCTTCCCAGGCATTGGCATGTGCAATTATCAGGATGTTTCTTTGACTAACATGACATCAAAATGGTGACATAGCAAGGCCTTTATCATCGAAAACATACACTGACCAGAATAACTCAAGTTGTCATTAAACTGGAATGGGCCTGACAGAGTAACGATATGAGAAAGGGCAAAGTGTGGTTTATGACCACCAAACACAGTCAAGAGACTCATGTGGAGAGAAACCGGTCAAATATGAGTTAAACATTGAAACATTTTTTTTCTGTCTCAATAATGACATGACCCGTAAGACTCCAAGGGGAGCTTACAGGTGACATAAGCACAATGGCTCCTTCCATGTCATTTCACATCACATGAGGTAATTACTGAACGTTAAGCCATATTTGATCCTCTTTTTGGCCATGTCTGCTGCGGAGGTTCAACTGGATCTTATGATGTTGTGCAGACCACACTATTTTTTTGTCAGGGTAGCATGTTGCCATAGTGAAAAATAAGAGGAAGGGGTGTTTACGGTCCCTGTTGGAGAAACCAAGACCACGATATGATCCTGTTGGAATTGTTTTGAAACTATTACTTCTGATCTCCACCCAGAGAGTATAGGTGTCAACAGAAAAATGAAATAAAGCAAAACATCAGGCAGCGATGTTAATGCTTTTCGCATCAAAAGTGATGTTTTCCAGATGGCAGGACATGCTCAGAGGACAACAGCAATTCAATTATTGTTTGTATTGAATCAGTTCCTTACCTGGTTCTTTCAGTGGAAAGTCGTTCCAATGATCGCTCAGTACAACATGGAGTAAAGGATACTCAATCAATATTTTGTTGCGCAGGTTGTCTCTTAGGCTCTTCTGTAAATCCAATTTGTGGTACCTATTCCAGATTAAACATAGACCAATTAGTAACAATACATGATTAAGACAGGCAGGTTAATCGATACAGTGAATCTGGCAACCGCTGTTCATTGCGGACATTAGGGCTGCCACAAACCAATACTTTTGCTAGTCGACGAATCACCAACGGAAGTTGCCACTAGTCGACTAATCAGATCACATGTAAATCCCGACATATCACACCAGCAAGCACCTTCTCTTACATAACCACCTTTAGCTTAGTTTGAATTCTTGAAGGTATGTACAACTTAATAATAAAGACAATTAAGATGGCAGTACACTCAACTTTGCAGCTCGTACCAGCATTCCTGTCATGATCATGAATGATGGAGCAACCTAAATTGAAGCCAATAATGAGGCCTTAACAATTTTAGCCGGAAATGTTTATTGCATTTTAAAATGAATACAAAAACTATACACTGTGGAGGTACACTGACATTATGAAATACAAAATAAATACTTTGACATATTTCACTCTTCTTGGGCACCAACCTTTTTTTTTTATTTTATTGTAGAAGGTCGTGAAATCAGAGTAAAATTAGGAAAATGCCCTTTGGTAAAGAACATAACACTTTATAATGAGGCCTTAACAATTTTAGCCGGAAATGTTTATTGCATTTTAAAATGAATACAAAAACTATACACTGTGGAGGTACACTGACATTATGAAATACAAAATAAATACTTTGACATATTTCACTCTTCTTGGGCACCAACCTTTTTTTTTTATTTTATTGTAGAAGGTCGTGAAATCAGAGTAAAATTAGGAAAATGCCCTTTGGTAAAGAACATAACACTTTTGGGTTTTTAATTTTGTTTTTGTTTAACATTTATCCAAATCGTTTTTTTTGCTTCACGAGTTCCGTATATAATCAACACATTCTGTGGTAGGCGAGCGTAACGGAATAAAACAAAACCTAAAGATTAGGAGGAATGTCTTTTTTTTAGCACTGCCGATTAGTATATTTGTCACAACATATGTAGGTTATGTGTTTTATTGTTGTTTTGCCGTTGAGGGTTTGTGCCAAATATGTCAGATTGTGTGACTTTCAGTGCTTCTATGACACTCTGTGTCTGTGGTTACGAGTGAATGTGAGGGAGCGCCTGTTCGATGTCCACCACGGGCATTAAAAAAAAAAAAAAAAAAAAAAAAAAACAGGTTTTGTGCAGAGCTATTGTTTATTTTGGTAAAAGCACAAGGAGAGTGTGAACCACACGAGCAGACGCCGACTACAGCCAATCAAAGCGCTGTTCTAGAATGTGACATTTGCAGATCCAACAGCACCACCCCACCCACCTAAAGTCAACTCAAATCCCATGGGAATACACCACAAAAAGTCTCCCTCTACTCCCCGTGCATGTGTGGGTTTTTTCTGGATACTCTAGTTTCCTCCCTTTCATATGGGTTTTCAATTCCTATCTGACATTTCAAAGCATTACCGCTTTTCCTGTCAACGTAATAGTCATGCAAAGTTTGCTCACTTTATGAAATATCATGTGATGCAAGCATGAAGAAATTACCCTGTCAGGCTTTTAGTTCATTAAAGGAGAGGAGGTTATATTATTCACAAGACAGTCGAGAACCTAGGACAGCAGTTAGCAGGTTTGTGCTCTCACTAAACTACGTAAAAAGGTTACTCTTTTGTAACTGTTGTGTAGTGGACATGTTTGGAGATCATGTGGTATGACCTAAAAACAAAATCCAATACATAATTTCCTGATAAATTCCATTATGTAGCTAGCTAGCTTGTTTAGCTCAGATGGTTAATTGTTAGCCTCTCATCTTATTAAAAATAAAAGTTGAAAATGTGTGGCATGATCATGATCTGGTGCAACCATTTCAGAAAGCTTTCCATGATAGATGTCCTAAATTGGTTATTTTATGTGTTTTTATCATAAATTAATTCTGCTGGGTTGAGGGCAGTGGTTCTTAACTCATTCAGTACCAGCCAATTCTAGACTCCATTTTTTTGTTTCCCCTGAGTCCTGGAAAAATTGGAAAAAAAAAAATAAGTATCTGGGGTTGAACGTGTGGAGTGTGAAAAGACATAAATATGTCTTTGGGAGTGAATGAGTAAACCTGGGGTCGATCGAACCCTAGGGGTTCAGTGAATCAGTCTCAGAGGTTTGACGGAGCCTCTGCTATGGAGGTTAAGACACACCGACTCAACATGTCAATTAATTATGACACGCCCGCTTGGCCATCACTGGCTGGCTTTTTTCTGTTTTTAATGTGTTTTTTTCATGTCTTGAATTGGTATTTTTCACTAATGAAGGGTTCGGTGAATGTGTGCTGGGTTCGTACCTCAAGGTTACAAGGTTAAGAACCACTGGTCTAGGGTGTTGAGAAGAAAAATATATATTTTGGGTTGGCATCAGGCTGAATCTGCATGTCACAATTTGGTAAATTTCATATTTGTTCATATATCTATGCTATTGCTCAGTCTCAACGCATGTATTTTTACAATATGTGTTGAAAATGGCATGTTCTCTTTGACAATGCAATGTTAATGGCTAAACAAACATGCCGTTTTTGGGGTCACCTGAAAAGTGAGGAATTTGGAGGTATGAGGACTTTGCCCGAAGGCCAGATGCTTCAGGTTCTGCAAAAGTCCATATTTGGTGATGAACATTTTTGTAGCCACAAACTCCTGATACAATTTTTTACTTGCAAAAGGATGTTCATGCTGTCATTGCATAATCTAGGCCAGCAAGCTCACGCTTCTCAAACTTGAGCAGTCAAGATTGGGCAAAATTCAGTAAGGCCTGGGGGCTGAAGAAGGTGGAGTAAAACATGTCTCATAAGGACAGCCTAAACTTTAGGCTGTCCTTATGAGACATGTTTTACCCTTTAGGCCCTAAAGGGTTCGTGATGGGTCATGAAACCTCTTTGGTATTGGGTTTTTAATTTTGTTTTTGTTTAACATTTATCCAAATCGTTTTTTTTGCTTCACGAGTTCCGTATATAATCAACACATTCTGTGGTAGGCGAGCGTAACGGAATAAAACAAAACCTAAAGATTAGGAGGAATGTCTTTTTTTAGCACTGCCGATTAGTATATTTGTCACAACATATGTAGGTTATGTGTTTTATTGTTGTTTTGCCGTTGAGGGTTTGTGCCAAATATGTCAGATTGTGTGACTTTCAGTGCTTCTATGACACTCTGTGTCTGTGGTTACGAGTGAATGTGAGGGAGCGCCTGTTCGATGTCCACCACGGGCATTAAAAAAAAAAAAAAAAAAAAAAAAACTGTTTTGGTTGGTAATACACTTGAGTTTGATGACTAATGCACAATCCATAGTAGTCGCTACAATATGTTAGCGCACCAAACTTGACATTGCGTTACAACAAACGCACACGATAGCCTTTATGTGCTAATGCTAGCTTCCAGAAACATCTAGTGTCCATCTCTCTGTAACACAGTCAAATACATGAAAAGTTAAGTTCTAGGGCAGTGAAGATCCAGTTTTTCTGGAACAAAAATGAACTAAATCTGAAACCAAAGCCATGCAGAGAAGCTGCATACGCCTAAAGACGTGTTCAGGATGACATGAGTCTTGTCTTGCCTATAAGTGGTTCTGTCATGTACCAGGGATGGTCATACATCAGCTGTCGAAACAGTTAACTCGATTCCTGGGAGACATGCTTTGCTTTTACTCTCAACATGCTTCAGAAACACTTTGCTGGGCTGTCATTACCAAAAGACTGAACTGTACTACAACTGGCACAATCTCCACAACCTGTCAAAGTCAAGACAAAGACAGTTTGCAGAGCTATTGTTTATTTTGGTAAAAGCACAAGGAGAGTGTGAACCACACGAGCAGACGCCGACTACAGCCAATCAAAGCGCTGTTCTAGAATGTGACATTTGCAGATCCAACAGCACCACCCCACCCACCTAAAGTCAACTCAAATCCCATGGGAATACACCACAAAATGTCTCCCTCTACTCCCCGTGCATGTGTGGGTTTTTTCTGGATACTCTAGTTTCCTCCCTTTCATATGGGTTTTCAATTCCTATCTGGCATTTCAAAGCATTACCGCTTTTCCCGTCAACGTAATAGTCATGCAAAGTTTGCTCACTTTATGAAATATCATGTGATGCAAGCATGAAGAAATTACCCTGTCAGGCTTTTAGTTCATTAAAGGAGAGGAGGTTATATTATTCACAAGACAGTCGAGAACCTAGGACAGCAGTTAGCAGGTTTGTGCTCTCACTAAACTACGTAAAAAGGTTACTCTTTTGTAACTGTTGTGTAGTGGACATGTTTGGAGATCATGTGGTATGACCTAAAAACAAAATCCAATACATAATTTCCCGATAAATTCCATTATGTAGCTAGCTAGCTTGTTTAGCTCAGATGGTTAATTGTTAGCCTCTCATCTTATTAAAAATAAAAGTTGAAAATGTGTGGCATGATCATGATCTGGTGCAACCATTTCAGAAAGCTTTCCATGATAGATGTCCTAAATTGGTTATTTTATGTGTTTTTATCATAAATTAATTCTGCTGGGTTGAGGGCAGTGGTTCTTAACTCATTCAGTACCAGCCAATTCTAGACTCCATTTTTTTGTTTCCCCTGAGTCCTGGAAAAATTGGAAAAAAAAAATAAGTATCTGGGGTTGAACGTGTGGAGTGTGAAAAGACATAAATATGTCTTTGGGAGTGAATGAGTAAACCTGGGGTCGATCGAACCCTAGGGGTTCAGTGAATCAATCTCAGAGGTTTGACGGAGCCTCTGCTATGGAGGTTAAGACACACCGACTAAACATGTCAATTAATTATGACACACCCGCTTGGCCATCACTGGCTGGCTTTTTTCTGTTTTTAATGTGTTTTTTTCATGTCTTGAATTGGTATTTTTCACTAATGAAGGGTTCGGTGAATGTGTGCTGGGTTCGTACCTCAAGGTTACAAGGTTAAGAACCACTGGTCTAGGGTGTTGAGAAGAAAAATATATATTTTGGGTTGGCATCAGGCTGAATCTGCATGTCAATATTTGGTAAATTTCATATTCGTTCATAAATCTATGCTATTGCTCATTCTCAACGCATGTATTTTTACAATATGTGTTGAAAAGTATTTACATCGACTGCAGCATATGGGTTAAAAATGAAGCACATTCAAATTCATGTAGAATGGGGGTCAGCACAGTCCTGCCAACATTTCAGATGCCTCTGATTAACCCCAAATGAAGGTCAGGTGTTCGAGCAGGCTTCTTCGGACATTTTCGTAGTTACAGCTGTGGTCCGCAGATAGCTTCCACATATTGGGTAATGAACTTTTTTGTAGCCACAAACTCCTGATACAATTTTTTACTTGCAAAAGGATGTTCATGCTGTCATTGCATAATCTAGGCCAGCAAGCTCACGCTTCTCAAACTTGAGCAGTCAAAATTGGGCAAAATTCAGGAAGGCCTGGGGGCTGAAGAAGTTGGAGTAAAACATGTCTCATAAGGACAGCCTAAAGGGTTCGTGATGGGTCATGAAACCTCTTTGCCAATGTGTCTAAACCAGGCATGTCCAGCTCCAGGCCTGGAGGACCACTATCTTGTCTATTTTCCATCCCTCCCGGCTGCAGTTCACCTGATTCAAATGACCAGCTCATCAGCAAGCTCTGAAGCAGCATTAGAACGATCAAGATTTGTTTTTTATTCAGGTGTGTTGCTCCTGGGAGAGCTGGAAAACAGGCATGACAGCGGCCCTTGAGGACCGACTTTGGACACCCCTGGTCTTAACAGAAAAAAAAAAAAATCGCCTAGCCACACTTAAGAGTAGTTAAGCATGACATTACGTTTATGTTTTGCTGCTGTCTTGTTGCGTGCACATGGCAGAGAATCAAAAAACTGTGATCGATAGTCCGAAAAATACGGTGCTCAACAACAACACAGAATACAGTGATCCCTCGCTGTAACGCGGTTCACTTTCCGCGGCTTCGCTGTTTCACGGATTTGCTTAGTGCAGTTTGATCATTGGCTCATTTCACTGTCAATCAAAAGGAGATTCAGCCTCAGAGAGATCATCCAATCATCATGAAGAAAAGCTGAGCTTCTGCATGCCCACTGCCCATAGACTCCCAGAGACGCTGAGCATCCAATGGGCGGGACAAAACCAGCATTTATCCAATGACTCGTCTCGTTTCAATGCATTGGGACAACCTAACCTGAACTCTAGACGCCCAGCGTTCACACGGTCGATGCTCAGCGTCCACATAGTTTAAAGCACAGTGAAGCTGTGAGAATGAATGAGAAGAGAGTCGCATCGTAACCAGTAATAAAAAGCTTATTCGGAACAAAAGTTGAGCGCGTTGTAGCGCATATTTCATCAATGACATGTCCACACAATTTTACGTACACACATATATTTGATCACTTCCTTTTGACATTTTGGGAAACTGAGCTTCCCTTGCAGTCTTAGAGCAATCACCTCTGCATTGTATACATAGTTCAGTATTGTATAATTAAAAAATAAAGCTGACTATCAAGTACAACTTTGTCAAATGTGCTGTATATATACAGCACATTTGAAATTTCATCCCTCTCACATTATTTTTTTATTTTTATTTTTTTTTTATAAATCCTACTTCACGGATTTCACTTATCACTGGTCCGTTTTGGAACGTAACCCCCGAACTATCAAGTACAACTTTATTGTCAAATGTGCTGTATACATACAGCACATTTGAAATTTCGTCCCTCTCACATTATTTTGCTTTTTTTTTTTTTTTTTATAAATCCGACTTCACGGATTTCACTTATCACTGGTCCGTTTTGGAACGTAACCCCCGCGATAAACGAGGGATTACTGTGTTTGAAACTGTTCTTGATCAAACTGCTTTGTGAAACCAGGCATGCACGCACGCATGCACAAAATGCAAATCATACACCCACTGGAACCAGGAGCAAAGTATAACAATGAGGTTTGAGCCAGTTGAGTTGAGCAAGTTCACCCACACACAAGTAATGTGTGGGCTAACCTTTTTACCTGATCAATCTGTATGAGCATGTGTGTGCAAGATTTGAATTAGCTAATACTGCACAGGTGGCTTATATTACAAGGTACAGTCCAGTTTTTAAGACTGATAATGTGTGATGTGAAAAGTCTAATTGATGTTTGATGTTTCTAATGGGGAAGTAAAAATAAACAATTGAGAATATGACTGTTCAAGGGTGCATATCCTATTGTAACGGTTCATGTGGCTGTGTTAAAAATGAAGCACATTCAAATTCATGTAAAATGGGGGTCAGCACAGTCCTGCCAACATTTCAGATGCCTCTGATTAACCCCAAATGAAGGTCAGGTGTTCGAGCAGGCTTCTTCGGACATTTTCGTAGTTACAGCTGTGGTCCGCAGATAGCTTCCACGGCATCAGAGTTTTCTCATTGTTCAAATGTTTCAGTCAGGAGAAGGGTGTAGAAGAATTTAAAAGGCAGTAAAAGGGGAAGTCAAATCAAAATTTTCTTTACAATGGTATACTGCAACTCAGCCAGTGTTAAAAGTTCAGGGACAGTGTTAAAAACAGAATGTCAGTGTCAACGCCACACTAGTAGTAAAATGGCCCGTGTAGTCTGTAAGACCGATACGTTGTGAAAATGGGGTGTCACCTGGATTCAACCGTAATTGATATGCATTTGAAATTGAATGGTTAAGAGTCGAGACAATTTTCTTCAGCATCATATTCCTCCTTGCTTGCAGCATGGAATCAAACTTCCCCTAAGGTAGGCAAAACTCTCACATAATGGTATTTGATGAAAAAATGTTTGTGCCTCATAACTTGGTTTGAACTTGAGTTTTCTGGTTGATCATATTTAAAATAGACAACATTAAATAGTCAATAATTAATATCATGATTACATCTTTAAAGTACTTTGAAGTATAGAAATGAGTCAAGTGTGTCGATATGTGTTGTTAGCTGCATTGTGATGTGCAGGTGACAATTTGATCATGATGCATGTTCACGATCATGTTCAAAAGCCATTAAATGTTTGGAACAGATCTTGCGCGGCCTGCATGTCCACAAATTGCTGCTGTTTCTCACTTCCACCGTGTGTCTGTCAGATGGACCCTTTGGCCAGTCAGAGGTGTTGTTCCTGTGACGTGAAGTGGTCGCATTGGCTACACCGCCAATGAGGTTCATCAATATAGTGTTTAACGAGTTTTGATTCAGGCCATTGTTGGCAGCTACAGTGACGAGCTGCATAGTTAATTCGAACCAATTTCCATTTCTTTTTTGTTTTTTCTCACTGCATGAATTATGTTTCATATTAAATTCTGTGTGGGTGTAAACTTGTAGGACTACCCAAACACACTAACAAGCTGTGTGGAGCCTGATGAGTAGCATAGTTGACTCCATTCAGTCTAGTGAGTGTGATTTGTCAGTTACTTGTCAAACAATATGCCTATTCTCGAAAATGTAACATGTCGAGATGATCTGAAGTGTCCTTCAAGGAATATGATTGCATTGAAACGGTTGTGTGAAAAGTTGTCCATGTGTGTCTTGCAATTGGCTGCCAACCAAATCAGGGTATATTTTTCTGCTCAATTCAGATTCTGCAAACGCAACATTAATCAAAATGTATTTACACTAGTGGGGGCGCATAGAACATATAATGGTAAAGAAAATGTTTGACTTGGTTTCCTCTTAAAATATACCATCGAACACAGCATAGAAAGTCATTATCCACTGTAACTCACCTGACTGAATTTGCTTTCAGTTCTTCTGCCTTCATGAAAACATTGACGTCCTCAATTGGGGCATGTACATACCTCTTCAACCTGAAACAATGATTCATATTACAAACAGTTTCTCAACACTAAAGTGTACATACACACACATGCACACGCACACACAAAAGGCTTACTTCTGGCGTATTATAGGGTCTGACTCTGTCGGGTGTATATAAGGCATCAAGATCTCTTCTAAACTTAGCCTGTCACATACCCTGAAAGGGGAAAAAAGGATTTGATAAATGTTAAAGAAAATACACGTGGTACATGAAAGCTAACATTTAAAAGGATCAATCAAGGTCACCATAGAAAATACCTACATCAAAGCAAAATTAAAGTCCACTTTTTTTTTTTTTAAAGATAAGATAACCTTTATTAGT